CCCCAAAACCCCAAAACCCCAAAACCCCAAAACCCCATTTTCCATATCAAAATTGAGCTTTAAGACTGCTAATCATCCGGCTGAAGCTGGTTGTGGATGATCTTCTCCAAAATCGTAGCCTTCAATTTGAGATACAGGTAACTGTTACCCTCTTTATCCTCCCTCTCGAAGAGGATCTTGTGGTCCCTGATTTCACGAAGGATCTCTTTGAGATTTTTGATGTCGCTAACAGCCTGCATGTCAACACATTCTTCATAAAGCTCACGCTCTTTCATTCCAGGCTCGTGAGGGTTCTCAAGCTGGAACTTTGCAAGCACTTTCATGGCGTCAACCTGAGCGTCAGTGAAGGATTGCAAGATAAAGGCAAGCCCAAGCTCCTCTCTTTCATTCTTGAGGGAGAACAGCGGAGTCACCATAGACTTCTCAAGGTCGTACTCTTCATAAGTGTCAATCTGATAGAAGACGAAGTTGTACTCATCGAGCACTGCATCATCCCAAAAGACTGCAGGCTTCAGAGAATCTGTGGTGACAATGATCCCTATCTTGTCACACTTTGCTAAGGATGACAAGTGCCTCTGGAGTTCGAGAGACTTCAGGTTGCCACTATCGAGCGATATAAGCACTATGTATATTTTCGGGATATTCAGGTCATCAATTGACAAAGTTTTCAAGAGATATTCCACGTTATCACCCATACTAAAGAACTTGTTCATCTGCTTCATTACTTTATTGTTCTCATCATTCATATACTCTCTGTTGATGTGAGTTGTGAGCTCCTTCAGGATCCCCTTAAGTGTCAGTCCAGGGTGGTATCAATTTCCAACCACAATCGCATTCTCCTTCAGTCCCATGGTAAAATGTTTCAAGAAGTTGATCTTGCTGCCAACCCCATATATAGCTAGATTAAGTCCTGAATCAAGCATGTAGTACATCTCATCCTTAAGTTCTCAGCATATTGATTTTGCCATGCCGTCACCAGTAGAGAAGGAATCGCCAAGGAAATCTTCGTAGCTTGGCCCCTTTGATTCTTCATCAATGTGAGGATTTTCCGCATTGTTGAGAGCAAAGTCGTGGATGTCTTGCTCCCTCTGATCTTGTCTGAGCCTATCTCTGTCGTCTCTCCTTCTCCGATCAGTTTTCTTATCCTCTCTATCCCGACTGGTCTTATCATGCTTACCTTGAGCGACAGTTTTCTGGTTCTTACTGAAGAACTCATGAAAATTCTTACGTCCAATTTCCTCAGAGTCAGATTTTAGTTGAACTTTCTGAGTACGACACCTGAAATAATCCATGAAGGCCATCTGGTCTTCTTCCCCGAGTCTGATTGCATCGTCCTTGAAACGGTTGTCTTGGTGTCCTTTGAGCTCAGCTAGAAATAATTAAAACATTTTAAGGTATACCTTTGATGTTGATTTCCCCATCGTCTGAGTTTTGCTCCTCATTCACAGAATGAGAGGAGGCTGATAACTCCTCAACTAAGTCATTCGCTTCATTAAGATTCTGCATGAGGCCGTTAGGGTTGTCAAACATAAGATCTGTCTCATTTTGCATATGGTCCACCTCCATATCTCTTTGTCTCGAATCTGGTCGGCTGCGTTTCATTTTTACCGCAAATTAATTATTTCCATTAGCTAGAGATTTAGGGGTTTTGGGGTTTTGGGGTTTTGGGGTTTTGGGGTTTTGGGGTTTTGGGGTTTTGGGG